GCCCGGCTGATGTTTTGATTTATTGTAGAGATGAGGTCTCGCTGCCCAGGCAGGTCTCGAACCTGCGGGCTCAGACAATCCACTCACCTCAGCCTCCCAAAGGCGCGGGATTACAGGCTGAGCCACCGAGCCCAGTTCATGGAATGCTTTTAAAGTTTCACCGTCAAATATTATAATTGCTAAAGTTTTCAATAAAATGCCTTTTTATAAAGTTAAGGAAGATACTTTCTATTGGTAGGATGGTGTTTTTGCTTTACACACATGACTAAGTATTGAATTTCACCAAAAGTTTTCTTTTCACAACTTTTAAAATAAGCATGTTTTTAAAAAAATCTTTTAGTTTGTTAAGTATATTGAGTAGATTTTTTTCCCCTCAAGCTTCTCAAGCTTTATCCACCCTTGAATTCCTGAAAATAGTCTTACTTGGTCAAAGCATGATAATTCTTTTAATTCACTGACTGATTCTTTTGGCTAGTATTTTATTTAGAATTTCAGCACCTATGTGTGTTTATAAATAGATTGTTAGGAGCTAGTCTTTCTTTTATGTTTTCTGTTCTACATTTAATATAAATTATAATGACTATTAATTTCTCAAAAGATTGATAAAGTTTGGCAGTGAAAGCATTTATAAGTATATCCTATTCCGCTTTTTTTTTTTTTTTTTTGAGAAGGCATCTGAGTTCTATTTCAGTTTTTAAAATTGTACTATTTTGATTTAAACAATTTAAAAATTGTTTTGGTTAATTGTTTTGGTTTCTGACTTTAGACATTATCTCATGTCTAAATTTATGAATAACAAAGAAGATCAGCAAAGATTGGCAACCCAAGAGTAATTAATTATGCTTGTGCCAAATGCTGGTATTTTACACAAGAATAGCAAATAGCAAAAGGAAGATAAAGAAATGTAACTTAATTATGGAGGTTGTAATTTCAGTGTATAGTATTATAGAAAATTCAACCTAATACATCACAAATATGTTTCTAACAGGGACTTACACATCCTTTCTAAATATTTTAAAGGATGTTATTGGGAAATAAGATTTTCACAGACAACATTTTTGAGACAGTTATTCTGAATAAAATAGCAGTTCTCAAAGTCTGATAAAAACTGGAATACGAGATGAGGATTTGGGAGGAAAGTAAAAACTAAAATACCTGAATTTCTCAGGCCTTATTAGTCTGTAAGTTCTATGGCAGTCATATGAATATTAATAACATAATCTTACTGTTTGTTATTCTCATCTGTTGACTCTGAATTCAAACCCCAGCAGAATCCTAGTATTTCTGAGCATTGTGGGGCATCTCAAATATACTCAGCAATAAGTTCATATCCATGTTATATTGTACTGTTTCCCAAGATCACCTTGTCTTTATTCCTCTGCTTGCTTCAATAGTTTTTTGGTTGCTGCTAAAGCCCTTAAAGTTTTAAATCCATGTGGCATAGGTTACCTAAAATTGTTTAGATACCACAAGTCAAAGACTTGAGAAAACAGTCTTTTTATTTATTTCCTGATTTATTTCCCTCTCTTCCTAAAACCCATGGTACCATCTAAGGTGCTAAGTTGGGTTTGGATTTGAGTTAGCAGCCAGCAAATGTGCTGAATTCAAATGGGTTCCAAAAACTACCATTTTGCCAATAGGCTGATTTACCATGAATTCCCCCTTCTTTTAGTTTGAGTTTTCTGACAGAAGCCACCTCAGTTCTCCTGTAAGTTGATCACTGTTGGATAGCTTTCAGTCATTCTTTCAAACTCAGATAGGTATAAACTTAGCTATATTTCTTCTCTAGTTCATTGCAAAAGAAGTTCTATTTTGTTTGTCCCACTAGTTGGCCAGACATACTTAACACTTAGTATTGGGAAAAGGCTGTGTAAGCTGAGTTCTGCTTTATCTTGTTCATTTGATTTCAGTGAATATTTGTGGAGGGCATTTTTTTGGTGCCAGGTACCATGGTTGATTGTAAGAGTACAGAGTTGAGTAGAGTACAGTGCTTTTCAGGAGCTCACAGTTAAATTGGTAAGATACACATGCACAAAAATAAGTATATTACAGCATAACGAGTGCTACTGTAAAGGTGTGTAAAAAGTGGGAACACAAAGGAAAGAATAATTGTATTTTCCTGGGAATCATGTGCAAAAGAAATGTGAGCTCAGCCTTAAATGATGGAAACAATTTCTTAACATGAAATCAGACCAAAGAGAAATGATACCATAGGAAGAGAGACTAGAAAATTTGAAAGTGGAAAGTCAGAGAAAGGATAGGTGTACTCTGTTTTATTTCATTTCACACATATTGCATTTTTTACAAATTGAGGGTTTTGTGGAAACCATTGAGCATATCTGTCAGTACTGTTTTTCAGACAGTATGTGTTTATTTCATGTCTCGGTGTCATATTTTGATAATTCTTGCAGCACTTCAAACTTTTTCATTATTATGATTCATTGTTATGGCAAGCTGTGATCAGTGGTCTTTGGTGTTATTATAATTGTTTGGGGGACACTACAAACTGTGGCCTAGACCGCAAACTTAATTGATAAATGTTGTGTATATTCAAACTGATTCTTGAAGCCAAGTATGGTGGCTCATGCCTGCAATCCCAGCACTCTGAGAGGCAGAGGTAGGCAGATTGCTTGAGCCCAGGAGTTGAAGACCAGCTTGGGAAACATAGTGGAAAGCTTGTCTGTATAAAAAATTAAAATTAAAATTAAAAAATTAGCTAGGCATGAAGTACACACCTGTAGTCCCAGCTATTCAGAATGCTGAGATAAAAGAATTCCCTCATCCCAGGAGGTAGAGGCTGTGGTGAGCCATGATTGTCGTGATCATGCACTTAATTCATACCAAAAAAAAAATCATTCTTGAATCTTTTTGTTATCTACTGAGACTTCAAAATCTGGTGTATATTTTATACTTACTGCACATCTCAATTCAGGTTAGCTGCATTTCAAGCATTCAATAACAACCTGGTTAGTGACCACAGTATAGAATAGCACAGATCTATAAAGAGTAGGTAGTCAGTACAAATGTTCTGAAGGAGATTCTTTTAGAAATGTGCCCTTGGCATTTGGAGGTTGAAAATATTGGTCTATTCACAGCAACTTGAATGGATTTAGAGTCTATCATACTCAGTGATCTATCACAGAAACAGAAAACTGAGCACCACGTGTTCTCACTGATAAGCAGACCTTGAACAATTATCATAATACTATAAGAAAGGGATTGGCAGTAGTGGGAAACTGCCAGGGGAGGGAGTTGGGATTGGCAGTAGTGGGAAACTGCCAGGGGAGGGGGCCACACCTCATCAACAAGGGTGCCCGCATAATATACCTAACCCTGAATTGTACCCCACATTTTTAAAATAAAAAAAAAATTAAAAAGAAAATACTGGTCTAGAGCTTTTAAACAAGATCAAAACTAAATATATTGATCAAAAAAATCATTACCATAGAAGACTTGTCACATAGAGAGAGGGTATAGTTTTCAACAGTTTTCAGTGAAGGCTCACTAGAATCTTCTACAGGTGTTTTGCTACTACATAGGTGCATCCCAAGAAGGCATGACAGAATTTTGGGGTGGGGCAGGTATCACAGAGTTGAGGGACACAAACAGATAATAGACTTTCTCTATACATGATTCTGATATGTCTCCTCCCTTTAGTCCCCACTCCTGGTTGAGGACTACTGGTTAAAAGGGAAATGAGTATAAAAGAGGCTAAGAACGACAGAGAGGAAAGAAGAACATTAAAGAAGTTAAGTAAGGAGGGTAGTGCTTCAACAGTGAAGAAAGAGGAAGGTAGGACATATGCAAATTAAGAGAGTTTGAGCATTGAATTTGTAGTTTAAATAGAGTGGTTAACTAGATTAAGATGGGTTCTGAAGATAGATTATCAGAGACAGAACTGCAGCCTACTGATTGAAGGTCTAAACTAGATTGACCGCAAGAGGGACTTGCTGTGCCCTCCCAGCCAGAGTTTCTTAAATCCCTCCTTTAAACTTGGTTACAGTCTATCAGTGTTCCCTCTCTTAAAGTTTTTATAGTTGTTGTATATACTTGTTTGTATATGTACATCTCCATCTTTACCCTGACCACACTATAGAATCCCTTGAGGAATTTTTTAAAGTACAATTTCTACCCCCATCTTCATTTCTGAATAAGTCAAAATGTCTAGGAGTGAGGCCCAGGTATCACTCTTTTTTGAGGTTTCCCAAGTGATTCTAATGTAACAGGGTAGAAAACTGTTGATGGCATAGTGAGCACCTCCAAGAGAGAAAATACATTTTATTCATCTTCATGTTCCCAGAGTTTGACTCATTGTCTGGCATATAGTTAGATTTCAGGATATACAATTATCCCAAATTTATCTAAATCAAAATATAGACATAAAATCTCAGGTTTAAAAATAGACTAAAGAATCAGTGAGCCTATTCTCTGAATCTTGTTTGATCACCAAGCTCACAACATGTAGTATAGTTAACTGCTCCAGTGAGTACAATATAAAAGAAACATGAATATACTCAGGATAAAGGATTTTTTTGCCATCAATTTAAAGTAAGCACTTCCAGTATCACAGAATTAACTATAACTCAATAAATCCTGTTATTTTTAAAATTTAATGTTGTAGGTATTCAAAAGATCCTACTTACAAATATTTGTAGTTTTCTTATGATGACTCTTTAAAAACCACTTACTGACTTGACTCTTGAGCAGTTACTTTTCACCACTTTTAGTGAGAGACAAACAGAAAACTGTTGACATAAAATTTTCTCCAAAAAGGAAGCAAGCTGGTAGTCACTAACATAATGTGTCATTGTCACAATTAAATGGATTTTTCAATCCCAGCATAGTTTATAGGGTGCTCCTAGCCTAAGACTTGATAACTAGTACCTCAACAAATGATTGTTCTTCTTTATGCTCCACTCTGCTATTGCTAGGCTCAGAATTTAGAAAATCAAGTTTCTCTGGCAATTTAATATTCTAAAAATGCATTAATATTCCCACAGATGAAAAGAAGTGAAGAATTGAGAACCAAAAATCATAATCAAGAGGAAATAAGTATTCTTCGTTGTTGGAAATGTAGAAAACATATAGCAAGTTCCAGTTGTCTCATGAAATTTCTTGAGAATCAAGTGGTTAAGGTGAGTATAGCTAACTTCAGTCTTTAGACAATTTCCTATTATAGGAATGTTGTGGGGACACCCACGCATGTGCACACTTTCCCCTTTATACCTGATGAAGCTTTTACCTAATTTTCCATGACACACTGAAAACATTCCAAAGTAGTAATCAAAAGGCATCCCACCTTCCACAGTTACAGGTAATTTTACCTTTAACTGTAATGTTAACATGACCTTAATGTTTTAAATGCAGTATCATAGATATACGTTGAAGGTACGTATTGAGTCCCCACCATGAATGAACCTTAGTGATTACTACACAATTAAATTAAGAATCCTAGTAAGAAATGGAAAACTTGTCATATAGTTGTTTTTTGTTTAATATTCATTATGGGCCTTGACAAGAAAGTTTATGTATAATTGACTGGGCATGGTGGCTCAAGCTTGTAATTCCAGCACTTTGGGAGGCCGAGGCAAAAGAATTGCCTAACCCAAGGACTCAAGAACAGCCTGGGCAACTTGGCAAGACCTCATCTCTACAATAAAATTAAAAAAATTAGCCAGGTGTGATAGCGCCTGCCTGTAGTTCCAGCTACTTGGAAGGCTGAGGCAGAAGGATCATCTGAACCCAGCAGGTCAGTGCTGGGATGGCCGTATGCGTGCCACTACACTCCAGCCTGAGTGACAGAGTGAGTCTCTGATTCTAAAAAAAAAAAAAAAAAAAGGAACCTATAGGAAAACTTGAATAATATTTAAAAGTGTTTGGTTATTCTGATAAAAATATACAAGGGAAGACCCTCAAAATGGAATTTATTTATAAAAAATTGTGTATTTATTCTTACATGTTTAAACTTCAGTCTCCTTCAAAGTACTCTCTGTTTGATGTAATGCTCCTATCAAGATACTTTTTCCACTGCTCAAAACTATTTTTGAAGTTGTCAGTTTTGATGCCTTTTAGTACTTCTGCCGTTTCTTTGTTTTACCTCCTCCATATCGGCAAAATGTCTCCCTCTGAGGATTCTTTTCATCTCAGAAACCAAAAAAAAAGCTGCTCTGGGCAAAATCAGGTGAATAGGGCAGGTGGTGACATGAGGTTCATGCTGTTTTTTGGTAAAAAAAAAAACAACAAAAAAAACTGCTGAATACTCAATGCATTATGGGCAGGTATGCTAGCAAATCACCCATCATGAAATGGTCAAATGGGTTGAAAGAATCTCCAAAACAAATTCACTGAAGCCAGACGCAGCCTCTCACAACAGTGGTAGCTGTACACTGATGCCGGTGGGCTCTTAGAACACTAGCCTAGTGGGGGAATCCTGTACTACAACGGCCTGCCCTCCAAAAAGTAATTCTGTTTTTTCAGGGGGTCTTCCTTGTATGTTGTTTTTGAAACGGCAAAACCCAAAATTCTAAACTTCTCTAAGAGCAATATCAAAAATGTCATTTCAAAGAATCAAAAACTAGGAAGTAATTCATGAACTTTGGAGGGAATTCGGAACTCAACAGAGAATGTGACTGTTTTTTCCCTCTTTTTTGAGAGACTGTCTCAGTTTTTTATTTGTTTTGCTTTTTTGCTTCCAGCATACTTGATCACGATTGTTTCCTCTCCACTTGAACAAATTAGCCAACCCGACCTGATAATAGTAGATAACTTTCATTGGATATTTACAATATGCCAGGTACTTTTAAATGACTTGAAATAACATTTTTATTGGGAAAAACCTGCAAACTTTTCATGCTAAGAGCATTTTATTGGATAATTTACATAGAGTAAAAAAACTTAGGCATACAACGTGATAAATTGTATCAGCCCGGCTATGAGTCAGATCAAGATACACAACATTCTCATCATCCCAGGAATTTTTGTCTTTCTGTTCTTCAGGCAGTGTTCTGCCTCTCACAAGGCAGCCACTATACTGATATCTTATCATCCTAGTTTAGTTTTGCCTGTTCTTTACCTTCATTCAAATGGAATAAGATAGCATGCACTCTTTTGGGCCTGATTTATTTTCCTCAGCATAATATTTTAGAGATTCATTTATGTTTTTCATATGTAGTAGTTTGTTTTTTTACTGAATTACATGTCATTTATTAATATACCATAATTTATCAATTTTTGTGCTGACAGTCATTTGCACTCATTCTAGTTTTAAGTTATGAATAAAATTGCTATCAAAATTTTTGTAAAAGTCTTTCTGTGCTTATATTTTATTATTTATTTTTGATATGTACATAGAAATGAAATTATTGGATCATAGGGCATATGAACTTAATTTTTTAGAAACTGCTAGTAGTTTTTCAAAGTGAGTTTTCACTTCCAGTAGTGATGCATGAGTATTCCAGTTGCTGTACGTATTTGCCAGTATTTAGTATCTTCAGTCTTTATAATTTTAGCCATTCTGATAGATGTATAGTAGCATATAATTATAGTCTTAATTTGCATTTCCTTGGTGATTGCTAATGGCTAGTACCTTTGTGTCCTTATTGGTTAGCACTATTTTAAACTTTTATATTATTTATTTATTACTGTAAGTCTCTAAGGAAGACAATCTGTCATTTCCATTTCACAGATTAGGAAATTGAGGCATAGAAGGTTAAGTAATTTACCCAAGTACAGCTGTGATTAGACTGGCAGTAAGGCTCCAGAACCGGTGCTCTTAACCTTCACACTTTCTTTTCTGTCTTTGGTCCTCCCTTAGGATATCATGCAGTTTCACATCTTCTTAATAGAGCAACTGATTGTTTTATTTATTTGTAGAACTCCCACTCATTAATTCATTAAACAAATATTTAATGAGCAAGAATAGTTTTAAGTATGCACCAGGATGTATTGGCATAGATACTGGAAGAGTGATACAGAATTGAAAAACATATTCTGGACTTTGGAAGCTCTATACTACAGTTGAAAATAGACCAACCAAGGTAGTGTATATAATTCGATAAGTACTATAACGGAGGAATGTAAACAAACTTCTATCTGGGCTGCTCACAGAAGACTTCTCAGAAGAAGTTTTTTTTTTCTTTTTTTTTTTTTCTTTTGCCTGAGCCCGCGGGTTTGAGACCCGCCTGGGTGCCGGAGACCAGCTCCAGCTGGGTTCAGGGTACCCCAAAGGTGGAGATGGCATCAGCGATTGGAGGGAAGAAGAAAGAGAGAGAGAGAGAGAGAGAGAGAGAGAGAGAGAGAGAGAGAGAGAGAGAGAGAGAGAGAGAGAGAGAGAGAGAGAGAGAGAGAGAGAAAGAAAGAGACTGGACTCCAGTCTAGTGCAGAAGCCCGAAGAAGTTTTTTTGTGTGTGAGTGTTTGTGTGTGTGTGAGAGAGAGAAAGAGAATGTATAATCTATTTGTGTATAATGTATAATCTTTTTACAGTATTTTAAAGTACAATTTGTAGACCATAAAATTCACCCATTTTTAGAATACACTAATGATTTTGTAGTTATGTAACTACCATTGCAATACAGTTTTTTGAACTAGTTTCATTTCCTCACAAAATTTACTCATGCCCATTTGTCCTGCTGCCATCTTCAAGTAGCCACCAGTTTGAATTCTGTTTCTATTGATTTGTATATAAAATACAGTAAAATATATAGGTATAAACTATAACAAAAATGTATGTAAACTATTGAAAGTATCTTACAAAATGAAAATATATTTATATAAAAATTATATATGTAACTTAAAATTATATGTAAAAATACTAAAATAGATATAAAATAAAGAACATGCACATACAAATTATTAAATACAAGACAAAGGAATCAATGTCATGGTTAAGTCTGGGTGACTATATAATTGGGTAACTCTAAGGGAAGCTTCTAAAGTAATGCTAATGCTGTATTTCTTAATCTGGGTAATGGGTATATTGCTAAGTGCTTTTCTTTAAATCTCCTTTATAAAAGCATATTTTACATTTTATAAATGTACACTTCATAAAAATATTTTAAATGAACATAAAAGAATCTGTTAATTAAAGGAAACCATAAAACAAATTATTGGAACCCGAAAGTAATTTATCAGATACGATGCTGAAAGGATGCTAAATCTACCACCTATCAAATTATCTAGATTTATTACCTATTAAAGTTACTATACAGTAAAAAATGGATAAAATATGTGTTTTGTTTCTGAACTTCTTGTAAATGAAATTACACTGTGATTAGTCTCCTGAGAATTGCTGCTTTTATTCAATATCACCATGCTGAGTGTAGCTTTAGTTTATTTTTACTTCTATATAGTATTACAGTATTACAACATTGTACTTTATAATTCATTCTATTATTGACAGACATTTGAGTTTTATCTAGGTTTTTGTCTTACAAACAGTGCTGCTTTGAGCTTTCAACAGGTGTATATTACTAGAAATGGAGTTGAAGCATCATAGGGTATGTACATGTTCAATTTACTGGGCAATGTTAAGCTGCTATTATTATTAATATTATTATTATTGTTATTATTATTATTATTACAGTCACAGTAACTAAGCTGTTTTCAAATGACAGTTTTACCAGCAGTGGCTGAACATTGCTATGATTCCACATCTTCACCAACTTTAACATTTCATTCTCACAGGCCATAAACTATAACAAAAATGTATGTAAACTATCTTCTGCAAAATATCTTTTTCTTGCCTGTTTTTCTATTCGGTTGTTTTGTTTTGATTTTCAGAGTTTCTTTTGTAGTCTCAATTTTAATCCTTTGATGGATATTATATGACAAATATCTTCTCCTAGTTGATATAACTTATATTTTATTCTTTTGCTACCTTTTGATGAATAAAATTCATAAGATAATTTGGATGAATTTATTAATCTTTTGTTTTATACTTTTTGCTATAGAAATTCTTCTATACTGTGAGGTGAAGATTTTTTTCCTTTCCTTCTACTAAATACCCCAATAGGCAGGTTTCCTTGTACGTCCTTCTGAGCAACAGGCTTATTTCTCATTCATCTTTATACTGAGATTATAACTTACCTTTGTGTAGAGAGTTCCTTCTTAGGTTATATCTACCCTGAGGAAGCCCCT